CAGCCATGTGACTGAGCTGCAGTCTGGGCTGGGTTCTAACAGACCACCACTCCCTTTCTTTAGACTTCTTGATGACATGCACGTGAAAGTGAGGAACTCTTGTTTCCGGTTTTAATTGTTTTAATTTATGTGTAGTGTGTGTGTGTACCAGGTGAATGGTGTCCACAGAAGCCAGAAAAGAGCCCACTGGATCTCCTGGGACCGGAGTTACAGACGGTTGTGAGCTGCCACGTGGGGGCTGGGATTTAAACCCAGGTTCTCCGCAAGAGCAGCCAGTGCTCTTAACCATCTAGTCCCTCCCCAGCCTCTTGTTTTGGCATCTTTAAAAGGAATTTCTATTTTGGGTCACTTTTAGGAGCAATCAGGGACCGGGGCACAGTGAGCACACGTGGACTCGGGGATGTATTGTTCTTAGTGTTGTTTTATTACTGGTGAAAACTTGCTTGGTCAAAGGGAAAGAGAACTGTTTTGCATTTGGGGCTAATAAAGGCGTTCTACAGACTGTTTACGCCAGCGCCAAAGGTGATGGGGACAACTGTGCTCCGTGTTCACACTGTTGAGAGTTTAGTAGGGTGAAGGTCATGGTCAGTTGAAGCTTAAAGCGAATATGAAAATTATAACCAGAATATTCTAATGAGAAGGCAGAAGAGGAAGAGGAGGGAGGAGAGGGGAGAAAAGAAAGGGAGGAAGGGAGAAGGCAGAGGAGGAGGAGGGAGAGAAAGATGAAGAGAGGAGAGTGGGGGAGGGGGAGGAGGGTAGGGAAGGGTGGAGGAGGAGAGGGAGGGGGTGAAGAGGGAGGAAGGGGAGGGGGGAGAGGAAAGGGAAGTGGGGGGAGATCACCCAACCCTCAAGTATGGAGGAAGACCATGCTTTTCTTCCCAAGGCGGGAGGTTGCGGCTCACGGACCTTCCGCCTCTTGCTAGCTACATTCCTCGTGTGCTCGGAATCTGATTAGCCCGTTTCCTCATTACCGCAATCTTTCCAGGGCACATAAAGATCACCTTCCTTCTGTTACTTCTTGGAAAAGCACCCTTGCAAATTTAAGATGAAGAAACAGCCTCGGGCAGATGAGAGCGTCCCTAACCACCTGGCGACCATCACCCAGGATTAAGGGAGGCAGCACTGATTGAGCCATCACTAGCCTGAGCTGCTGCCGGCAGCCGCCCCTGTTGGATCACTTGCTTTAATGCCCACTTTTAGCTTCAGCTCTGATCCAGTCCTCACCCAAAGACAGATGCTGGCCCCTCGCACAAAACCTGGGCTGCTGCCTGTGGGGTCTGACCCCGCAGGGTCACTCGCCTGGCTGGCTTCATCCAGGGGCCAAAGGGCTTTCACGACCCTCTGCCCAATCTTTCCAGCAAGTTTTCCTCTTCACCTCCAAAGTGTGATCCCTGCTTTCTGGTGGTGCCACACTCCTGAAACGTCTGCCTTTCCCAGGCAGCAGCTCACCCAACTCATGCTGAGGACTGAGAAAACCTTCCGGAAGTTTCCTCCAGGTAGCTGGCAGACATGGCACTGAGACCCGGTGCAGAGAATGAAAAGGGGAGCTGATCCTGGAGGAGGAGGAGAGAGGCAGAGCTGGACAGCAGACAGACAGGCCAGCTCCAGGGATGGGGCAGCGCAGTGGCAGGAATGTCTGCCTGCTGTACAGCAAGTCCTGGGGTTGGCCCAGCACTGCACACCCTAGCAGGACGCATCCTGTGATCCCAGCACTGCACACCCTAGCAGGACGCATCCTGTGATCCCAGCACTGCATAGACCAGCACGATGCATCCTGTAATCCCAGCACTTGGAAGGAGGAGGCTGGAGGAGAAGAAACTCAAGGTCGGGTATAGAGATGACTCAGAGGTTAAGAGCACAGGTTGCTCTTCCAGAGGACCTGAGTTCAATTCCCAGTACCCACATGGCAGTTCATAACTGTCTATAACTGTAATTCCAGGGGATCTGGAACCCTCACACAGATACACATGTAGGCAAAGCACTAATGCATATAAAAAAAGAAGAAGAAGAAGCTGGGCAGTGGTGGTGCACGTCTTTAATCTCGGCACTTTGGAGGCAGAGGCAGGCAGATCTCTGTGAGTTCGAGGCCAGCCTGGGCTACAGAGTGAGTTCCAGGACAGCCAGGGCTACACAGAGAAACCCTATTTCAAAAAACCAAAAAAAAAAAAAAAAAAAAAAAAGAAGAAAGAAAGAAAGAAATTATTTCAAGGTTATTTTTGAGATCCAGACTGTCTGAAAAAAGAAAACAGCAATAATAAAACCCCTTAAATCTAGTCCCCAATAGCCGTGGTAAGAAGCATCCCGTCTATACCCAAGCTCAGAGTCAGGGAGGCAGCTCAGAAGTAGGGTTTGGTCTTGCTGCCGGGACCTGCACTGGCTGCTCTTCCAGAGGACCCAGGTTCAATTCCCAGCACCCACATGGCAGCTCACAATTGTCTGTGACTCCAGTTCCAGGGGATCTGACACCTCACACAGACATGCAGGCAAAATACCAATGCACAAAAAAATAAAAAACCCTGTGATCAGCCATCTGCTAGAGCCAGGCACTATTGGGTGGGGTGCTGGGAGCAGAGGCAGGACAGCTTTGCCACCCCAGGCTCACACTGTCCTGTCTGCAGAGCGTGTGTCCCCCACCTCCGACAGCAGTTCTTTAGATGTCTTTACTTATTTCTGTAGACCATTCGCAGGCATGCCACTCTCTGAGATGACTTGCCAGGCACCTGGATAACGTTCTCTTCTCACTCCTGAAACCTCACGGTCAGTTCCTGGGAATCACAGGGCTGACATGGTTATGAGGACAGCCTCGGCTACACTCAAGTGTGCAGAGACCACTACTGGCTTCAACAGCAATTGCTAGTAAGAAGTGATTTTGCCATTTGGAGGTGAAATGTCCCCACAGGCTCGTGTGTTTAGACAGTGGCACTGTTCTGGAGGCTACGGAACCATGAGGAGGTGAGAGACGAAGCTTCACAGGCTACTGAGGGGGTCTTTGGGGGTTACAGCCCCCCTCTCCTCTAGGTCGAGCTCTCTGCGTCCTGTGTCACTGACCAAGCCAGGGGTCCAGCCGCCATGCTTTCTCTGACCCCATGGACTATGCGCTCTAATCCCCAAGCCCCGCCCCGGCCCCACCCTTCCGGTTGCTTCTGTCAGGCATTCCATAACGGCAGTGAGGAAAGGCATGAACAAAGGCCGTAACCGGAGAGACAGTGGCTGAGAATCAGAACCTTAGCATTTATGGGTCCCTACAGATTAGCTTGTGATGAACAGATGCATTGGGGGAGGGTTGAAGGGAGTTCCAGGATGAGATATTTTCAAGATTTATTTCAAGTGGGTGAGTGTTTTATCTGTACAAATGTAAATATACCATTACATATGTGCCCAGTGTCCGTGGAGGCCAGAGGAGGGCATCCCCGGGAACTGGAGTTGCTAATGGTCATAAGTCATCATACGGTGCTGTGGAACATGGATCCTATCTAAGAGCAGCAAGCGCTCTTAACTGCTGAGCCATCTCTCCAGTCCCCAAGGATTTTTAAAGATACGTTAAAAAAAAAAAAATCTTGGGAAGACAGTATTTTAAACTGTTTATGTAAAGATGTAGGACATATTTGATCAATCACCTTATATTGAAAATAACTATAAAAACCATTCAACCTGGTTTTATCTTTTTAAGAAATATCTTAGGATGAGCCAACATTCTGAGAAATTGTCATGGAGGCTCTATATTGCCCTCACCCGATATGGGAGGGCGATTTTTGGTACCTACAGTGATCAACTTTGTCAGCTGCTGAGGTGGCGGTGGCGGCAAGGGGCGGGAGGAGGGAAGGGGCAGGCCCAGGTAGATGGAGAGAGCTACACTGTGCCTGGCCCCCATGGACACCTTTTTGAACCTGTGGGGAGTCCCAAGGATGGATACCTTTCCCTGGAGCAGGAGGGGTGCTCAGGGGTGAGTACAGTGGTTCCCCTCAGCTCAAGTGGTCCCTAAAGATGGCAACGGCTGAAGGCAGCTGGTGGGGCAATCTTCATTCTGAAGAGTCAATGTCCCAGGTACCAACCGACCAAAAAGGCATGAGTTCAAGGAGATAGAAAGTTTCACCGTTAATCACCTGAAAGTTCTGACACACAGAGCATTGTTTGAACCACAAGAAAGCAGACAGATCCCTCAGACAGGTCATCAGCTCATCTACCGAGGTAAATAACTTGAAAGGAAGTGGAGAAAGGGAGTGTGAACTTTTAGTAATGTCCACTGAAACCCTCAGACTGACCAACAACTCACTCCTAGGAGCTTAGTTTAAGAAAATTCTCATGGCAGTGGACTAAGATGTAAATGTGCCTTTTGGGGCACATGAATATCTATCTAGCTAATGACCAGACAATAAAAAATTAAAAAATGCTAAAATGTATTTTAAAAAAAGATGCTAAATCCATTGAATAAAGAACAAAGACATTTAGGAAGGGCATGAACATGTTTAATATAAAAAGATGCTAACACTTACTGTCAATCATTAGTGTTAATAATAATTATTAATAGTACTATTGGGACAATTTTGGTGAAGAAAAAGAACATAGTAAATAGAAATAATTAGGAAGATTGATGTGTTTTCTCATGGCTTATTGTATTCACAAAATTTCTACAATGCATATTGATTACTTTTTGAATAACAAAAAAGCCCCCCCCCATTCTCCCACTTGATGCTATATCTTGATGGTCAAGGTTAACAGATACACTACATAAAGTTCAAGGCTAGAAAACTGCTTTGGTATTGGGGCCATTAATTTATATTGCATTTATTAGTCAAATTCCTCACCTTGGTGATTTCTTTTAGTCTTGTATGTGTGCACATGGGTATATAGGCATGTGTGTGTAGGCCAGAGAAAAAATCCCAGCTGTAGTTAGTTTCTCAGGAGTGTTATCCACCTTGTTTTCATGAGACAAGGTCTCTTTCATTGGCCTGCAATTCACTAGGTAGGTTTGGCTGGCCGGTCAGGGAGCCCCAGAAGTTCACCTGTCTCTGCCTCCCCTTTCCACCAGTGCTAGAATTACAAAGACACATTACCATACCCAGCTTCCTGTAAGTGGTTTCTGGGAGTCCAACCCAGGTCCTCATGCCTGCAAGGCACTCTACTGACTGAGCTATTACCCCAGCCCAAGTCTGGTGTTTTTAATATACTGATATTTTGTACTGTCAGTCATTGATTTTTTTGAATCCTTTTTTAAACCAAAATTTTACCAAAACTATTTATTTGACTTAAAACAAACAAACAAACAAACAAACAAACAAAAAAACCTGTTCTACAAACCATCTTTAGTGAAATACCTAATTAATGAGTTGTGCTAGCTGAAGTGTTTGCGGTACAATCAGGGCATCCATGTGCCAGGGGACAGTCATTTGATTGTCCTGTGATGTGTTGCAGGTGGCTGGGCCAACCTCTGCATTAGTGTGAGCAGACCTTAGAGCACAGAACGTTCTCCTGACTCCGGTGTGAGGCCGGCAGTGAGAACCCAACACCCACTGGGAGGTCTCCTGTGTGGACATTGCACTTGGATCCTTGCTCACCTGCTTCCACTTCTCTAGAGCTCTGGGATCATGCCAGACATGCATCCCCCCCCACCCCCCTGCCATGGCCCCTTCCGTGGAATCACCCTTCTAACGACACTGGAATGTTACTCAACAAACTTTCCCCATTACAGTGCTAATGATAACAGCTGTTTAATGTGCAAGGCCTTCTAAGAGGACTTCTATTTAATCAGCAAATTCTGGAGATCAAAGTCTCAACACCAAAGGAATGTATTGCTAAAGGGAAAATTCCAGGCAAGAAGTTAGTTACAGGGAAAAACTCTCAGGACCCACAAAGGCCTGGACCTACATCAGTCAGGCTTTCAAGTCTCAAAGAAAATGATGAATTGTCCATCCAGCTATCACTTATTATAGATCTGTTTTGTGTTCTAGTTTGCTTTTTTTGTTGCTGTGATAAATGCCATGACCAAAAGCAACTTGGGGAGGAAAGGGTTTATTCCAGGTCAAAATCTATCACTGCGGGAAATGAAGACAGGAACTCAAGCAGAAACTGAAGCAGAAACCATGGAGGAACGTTGCTTGCTGGCTCCCGCTCAGCCAGAATCCTTACGAAGCCCAGGCTCACTTCCATAGGGATGGTGCCGCCCACAGTGGGCTGAGCCCTCCCACATCAGCCATTAATCAAGACAGTCTTCCACAGACATGACCACAGGCCAAATCTTGTTCATACAATTCTTCAGTTGAGGTTCCCTCGTCCCAGGTGGCTCCAGGTTGTGTCAAGTTGACACTAAAACGAAGGAGCACACCATGCTAGGGCCAAAGGACTCCATCAGTCATCTTGTAAAGGAACCCCAGATTCTTAGCTCTTACCACATTACGATCGAGTTCCTCCACTAAACCAAGGGCAGACAAAGCTACATTCCCCAGAGCACTAAACTCCCTCGCAAGTATTTGCTGAAGGGTACACAGCACCCAGTACGGGCTTTCCCTGGAGACCTGTATGGGAGGAAGGCACAGTTACTCCTTCCAAAACTTCCCAGCCAAATCAGTCAAGACAAACAAACCAAACCTCAGCCATTACCAAGGGTGTAGTACAGTCCTGAACCGTCTACCAGGGGCTCTGAAAACCTACGGCACAATTCTTGGCCACACAGGAGCTTACCACTGCAGCTTGGAGACGGGACTGACGGCGAGGGCTGGGGAAACAGCTCAGGTGGTGAGGTTCTTGCTTTGCAAGCATGACGATTGGAGTTCAATCCCCCACTTCATTCATTTGGAACCCTTTGAGTTTGGCAGTCTTGGATGGTTGTGGCTTGTCCACTTCATTCATTTGGAGCCCTTTGAGTTTGGCAGTCTTGGATGGTTGTGGCTAAGTGGGAATACCTCACTTAAGTCTGGATTATGTTAGGGCATCCTATCTCTGCATACTTTATTTTCAAAGAAAAAACCCCACACAGGTGGCCACACTTAATATTTCGGTAAGAATATCAACATAAATAAATGAATATATTAGATAAATCTTTTATTAGGCCATATGCTGGAATCTGGGGCTGGAGAACAGTGTACACAAGATGGGGATAGATGCAAAGCTGCAGGCCCCTGTGATAAAGATCATCTCTGCAGTCATGGGGTAGATGCAAAGCTGCA